TTTTTATGCAAAATGTTTGATTACAAAAAATATGATAGTAGTTTAGCAATTTTAGAAATAAATAAGCATGATTATTATGGTCAGAACAAGTATTATATTTCTCATTCATTTTGTCATAACCTTTATTTGTTTAAACTTCTTAATCTTCATTTCTGGGTTTGAAGGGGGGTTTGACTTTTTTTTGGACCCTGCTGTATCTGTATTTATATAAAAATGTGAAAAGGGTTTTTGTATATATATTTATATTTTTTTATAAAAACGTTATATATACACTAATATATAACATAAAATAAAATTTCACATAATTTCTCTTTAATGCTTGTAAAATGCTAAAAAAGATGTTTAAGAAATGATCATTTCTACAGAATTGTTAAGAGACTGTGTATGCACAGAATATATTTAGGGATGTTTGTAATTAAACTAACTTGTTAATAAAGTTGTCAATAACAAAATTTGCAAATAATTAAACAAGCAAGTTGACTACTGAAAATATGTTTTGATTTCAGGCAGAGTTGGCCAATTCCCAGTTTTTCTCTGTAACCATTAACAAGGTGTATGAATGATAGTGTAGGATTTTAAAAGCTGTGTAGTGTATTCCAACCGTGAAGTGATATTTATCGGATATGTGGTATGCAAACTACTGCCAGGTGATTTAATTTAATATATTAACCACCACATGCAAATCTCATTCCAGTCTTTACGACTGATTCACTGGCCTGTGCTTGGAGCTCACCACCTTCATTAGAAGCTTTACACTACAGTCCTTCTATCATTTGTCGGCTTGATGCCTTTTCAACCCTGAAGTAGAAGTTCCTATCAAATGTTGCTTTGAATCTTCAGTTTTCTCTTCTAAGGGGTTGACGGCTGCTCTGTCTCTCTCTCTCTCTACAGGATTATCTACCAACACAGCAAGACATCCTGCTGGCACGTAAGCCCACCAAGGGCATTCACGAGTACGACTTTGAGATCAAGAACGTGCCCTTCAAGATGGTGGACGTGGGCGGCCAGCGGTCGGAGCGCCGCAGGTGGTTCGAGTGCTTCGACAGCGTCACCTCGATCCTCTTCCTCGTCTCGTCCAGCGAGTTCGACCAGGTGCTGATGGAGGACCGGCAGACCAACCGCCTCATGGAGTCGCTCAACATCTTCGAGACCATCGTCAACAACCGCGTCTTCAGCAACGTGTCCATCATCCTCTTCCTCAACAAGACAGACTTGCTTGAGGAGAAAGTCAAAACGGTGGCCATCAAGGACTACTTCTCCGAGTACACAGGGGAGCCGCACAACTTGGAGGACGTGCAGAAGTTCCTGGTGGATTGTTTCCGGAACAAGCGCCGAGACCAGCAGCAGAAGCCCCTCTACCACCACTTCACCACCGCCATTAACACGGAGAACATTCGCCTGGTCTTTCGAGACGTCAAGGACACCATCTTGCACGACAACCTCAAACAACTCATGCTGCAGTGATGCTGGTCCAGCCATTACCTTCAGTAAACCTCTCCGAAATAACCCTCTTCTGCTCAGAAGAAACTGACTCCAATGTTTGTACTCCACAAAGTAACCTTTCTGAATAGCTCTGATGTGCTTTTATGCGAAGAAGGCGGCCTAGCCTAGCGGTCTGTCAGGGGCACGGGATGGTGGGTAGTTATTTTCTTAGAGAGTAAGCTTCGAGAAGAGAGTGGGTCTGGCCACTCACACTCGTCCTGCCAAGAGAAGCTGTACATGTCACTGAGCATCACCCTCTCGCCGAAGGTGCCAAACGCAATGCACTCCTCCCTCAAAAAAGGGGAGAAAAGCAGGCTGAGATCCTAGCACTGTTCTTTGATCTGTTACCTTTGAGCCTTTTATTACTGACCAAATAGCAAGATGAGATACAAATGCTGTTTTAACCTTTTAACAGGAACTATGTTCTGAGCCTTTCTGTCGATACCTGCCTGGCCTTAATTTTCCCCCTTATTTTGATTGGTGTTTTTAACGTGTAGATGTCTAATCAATTGTAAAATTTTAGAATTCAGTTTTTTTTATTTTATATATATATAGATCTATGAATATATTTACCGATCAACTTTTTAAGTTATGTTTCAGAAGTTTACACTCTTATTTTCCTCTGCTGATGGATAACGCTCACAATTTGTACCACTTGATAAACTGAACTTATACTGTGGTTAGCCACGCTAGGCAAGCTGATAGATGCAGTATGCATACAGCATAAACTCAGGGCTGAATGTAGACCACTTAAGCGTAGTTGTTCGCCTTCAGGAACATCCACTAATTGTAGCTCTCCATCAGTGGCTGGAAATCACATTTCCTTGCTGGCCTGCAGACGACATCCTCCGCTCTGCCATAGCTAGAGTCTGGAAGAACTTCTTTATCCATCAGGGAACGAAAAACGGTTTCTTGTTAATTTATTTGCTTTCTGTTTTTGTTTCTTGGTCCACAACCAAAACTAAACTGGCTTCTCGGTCAGACCCCGCTAATGAAAGCGTCTGTATTCACAAGTGCCACATGTTTAAGGTACCAATAATTTGAACAAACTTCCTCAAAAGGGATAGATCTTATTATGTGAACCTCGTTCCCTCAACAGTTGTGTATAGCTACTTTGTATAGTGCCATGTCCGCCCTGAATACTACGGTTGTAGTAAGTATTTTATGTAAATGGTCTATACCTCACCCTCCTCACTCTTTTCTAACAGATATGTAACCTACACTGAAATGTTTAGCTGTTTTTTGCCACTGTGCACCCATAAATCCAGAGATACTGACTCACTGCCCGCATTTCGCCTCGTTCAGGGTTGCTCTTTTGGCTGGTGCGTCTCAGCTGAATGCTTCCTGTATATGTGGCCTATGCATTCAGATGGCTGCAGCTAGGCCTGGCTCTTTGTCTGGTGTCGAATTCTGCCTTACTCCCCTGGCTGAAGTCCCAGGAGGCTCGTGAAAAGCAAGTATTATGTCTTCACTCTCCAGTCTCCACTGACAGTGTCCTGTGTTTTCTAGTGCCATTCACTGCCCCCCCCAGTGCCAGGAAACCGGGCGTTGCATGGAGCTTTTGTTGTCATCTTAGTATCCAATATTAATAAATACTTAGTATCAATTTTAATATTTCACTTTACAAACTCAAACTGTTCCAAGCACAAGATGTTGACTTATTTGAGTGAATTTGAGTATCAATTGAGTATTCGAGAAAAACTGAGTATCAACCTCTAGTATTTGCTGCCTAGTTCTAGCATGCCGAGTCTTAAAATGTTGTATTATCTGCCTTTGAGCTTAGAGAGACCTTAATAAAGCAAGTTTTATGTACTTGCCAAAACCCAAAGGAGTGCCTGAGGACCTTTACAAGTCCACGACTTCCATCGTCTGGGAGCCCTGAGGGCAAACCCAAGTGCTTGTGCAAATGATGTCACTGTCTGTCTGGTGTAGCTGTGACCGATCTGTCAGTACGACCGGTGGAGGACAAAAGCTGCACCAACATGCACACTGCCTCAATGCCTGTAGTGGAGAGCACTGGTCTGTCGTCTTTAGAATGCTCCTAACGGTTGACATGTTTAAAGGAAGGGCAATGCTGCAGATAGATACACTACTTCAGCTGTACCTCCTCTGTTCACTGCTGAGAGAAACGCCATTTTGTGGCAGTTCTGTGTTGTCTTTCATTAGCCATTCATGTTCGTTTCTTGCAAGAGTTGTTGAGGATGGTGTTTAAAAAAAACAAGTCTTTCTCACTGTATCCTTATCCGAAACTTGATTCTGATCAGAGATGGCTGATTTGCTGTTTTCTGCTTTGCCCAGATAATCAAGTTTGATTCATAATGATTATGCAAGAATTATGCCTACCACATAAAATAATTCCTAGTGCCTCCAGATTGATGCCTCAGACTTTTTTGGTCCTTCTTTTCTGGTCCTTTTTTTTCTGTACTTTGTTTTTTTTTTATTTGATTTAATGTGGATGCTTTTGAGTCCTCATATCAGAATCATTCATACTAAAGATTTCAAGACTCCTGTGCTCCGTAAAGAATATAGACCTGCTTTCATTGTACAGTCTAACATATGCTTCTTCATTCTTCGTCATTGACCCAATAAAATCATTTTGCAAAAACTGTCATTTTGATTGTTTTTTTTTTCAGAATAACTAAGCAATTCTGCAGCTTGTTTTAATTTCTACAAACATTTCTTCCAAACGAGTCGGTGAAAGTGCAATTCCATATTGTGAACACTAAGTTGTAGTGTTACACCAAATTTATCCAGGGTTTCAGTGAGCTTTACTTTTTCTCATTTACATGAAACCTTTAAAATGTAAAAATATATTTTTTAACTATACATTTATTCATTTTATATTATTTTAGCTTTATGGGTGTTAAAAATAACAGGTTGAACAACCAGCAGGTTGTGATGTTTGCCATGTATTGTCTATTGGGAATCTGCACAATAATAAAGATAGATGACAAAACATTCAAAGATACTGTTTTTAAAATAATTTATCAGATTTAATATAAATTAAGCTTGATTTATATTCAATCTAAAATGTTCTTTAAGGAACAGTGTGAGAAATTGTGATATAATTACAATTTATGTCATGATGATTCAGCAAAAAAATGTTTAGAAAAAAATCACGTGCACAATAATGGATTTTCAGTGTTAGTCTAAGCAAGGCAAGGCATTCCAAATAACTGGACTCTCCTAAGATACCAGACGGTGAGCGTGATTTCACCGAGCACAACATGTTCCTGGATCAACATCCTTGTTGATCCTGGAACAACATTCCAGTCAATCAATCAGAATTGAGGGATAACTTTTCAGGAAATACCTGTTTTAGGCTTGCAATCAGGGTTAGACGTTTCTGCACTCTTGGTAATCAGCTATCATTTCACACTGATTTTAGGAATAAATTATGGGTAGGGTTAGGTTTAGGGGTAAGGATTGGGTTTAGTCTATATTTTTGGACAGTAATGTTGATCCTGGATCAACAAAAGATGTTGATCCAGGAACATGTCTGTCTTGGCAAAATCACGGCGACCGATACCAGACGGCTGTCTTCACAGAGTGAGGTTACTGCAGCTACATGTGCTGTGCTGATCTTCTGCAGAGGGTGACCTGACCGCTGCAGCAGACCAACATGACTCAGCTTTTTGTAAATGGTCATGTGACTGCTTCATATACACCACTACAATAGGATTTACTTATGTGGTGTTCCCCAGAGAAGATGAATCTGTGAAGTATCAAATAACCGGGACTCAGTTATAAAAATCATTGCTTTTATTCTACATTGAACATGTTCTGGCATTGCAATATTCAGACGTGCAGGATCTCACTGGCAGAAATAAGCATTACATAAAAAAAAAAATACAAATCAAAGAAAAGATGCACAAAATGTGTTTTCTCATCAAAAGTAAAAAACCTAAATAAACAGTATTTAAATACATGTATGACAAATTAAAAGAGTTTACAGAGCAATAAGAGGTACATAAGATTTCAAGTCATTAGGTAAGTGCTTTAATGGGATTTACCTACAGACAGACTCCTCTATGCAGTACATGGTGCTAAAATACATTTCATTCTTTTTTCATTTTAAACTGACTCCAGTGCTCATAAACTGTCATTTCTCTCCATCAAATGATCCATTCTTCTGTCATTCATGTAGTGAATTGCACATAAAAAAAATACTACAGTCAAGCTGCTCATTCAGCGTACTATGTTTTCAAGGCCGGTTCTCACAGAACACGTTTTATTGCGCTACTTTTTACGGACCTCTTTAACCATTGCTGCGCATTAATTAAAAAGAAAAAGTTTAAGCAACTGTATGTAGTTTTGTATAATACTGCGAGTGAGTGGAATTCACCACTGTAAATATATCGGTCTGTAATAATAGCAGTGGATAGCTGTACACCTGCATTTGTTGCTGCCATAAAGCAATCCGCCCTTCTTGCGGAATTTCATACCCGCTTTATTAGAAGTCAGTGTACCATCAGAATGATCTTGAAACTGATATTTCAAGGTTAAAAAAAAACGTACATACAGTTTTACGCGTCTGGAGACTCGGTCCGTGTACTGTCAATTTAACAGAAGTTCAACATTTTACGTGTCTCAAGACTCGCGGTTTATGCATTCATTTCCATTTGTCTATGCCAAATCTCGCGTTTTTTGGCGTTCTACAATGCTGTTGTTTTCACATAAACGTGCGATAGACGGGACGACTTTTTAAAAACGCACTTGGAAACACTGCGTCTGGTGCTATGTGAATGCCCCTTTTAGCTTCCCGTTTGAAGTCACAAGCTCTGCGTAATTCCGCAGAATTCTCTGACAAGGCACAGACGGCGCACTCCAAATTACGGCGATAACATTACATTCTATAGCCATAATTTTTCATGAAAAACTCTTGAATGTGTTTCTAGGCAGCCTACATATCTGAGCAGAAATTGAGAGGACAGAAGCCTTTGACGGTTGGTCAGCATAACTCATCCCTCATTCAACATGTTCTGACTGATGATGGGTTACTCTTGATGGAAGTGGTCATCAGAACTACATTAACATCTAAGCTGAGATGTTGCCATCTTACTTTCCATTTACAATAGAAATACTAGTTAAATATTAAACCACTAGACACAGACCCGTTATCTATAGGCAAGCGAATGACATATAACCCTGAAACACTAGACAGCTCTGTACCCGTCTCACCTTCATCTCTGAATGAGGCTTATGCAACCTAATGCAATATACATTTGCATCATGGCCTCACTCTCAGCAGCAAAACAGCCTGAGGTTTCATCTTTTTAGTCGTTAAAGCCAGAACTAAAAGTGGTATGATGGTTTGTGGACAACATAATTATGAATTAAAGAGTGAAGTTGCATTTCACACTAAGACTTTGGTAAATGAGAGGTATAGAACTGAATGCCTAATGGGTTTAATTCTTGTCCTCTCTAAAAGTGTGTCTGTCTGTGGAGACTAGTACGTAGCACACAATATGACAGGAAAGGAACCTCAAAATTCTTGTTTCCTTTCAATAAATAATTATACAAGGAATGTAAACGTTTTGGAATTATGATTGGGTGGTCAGCAAAAGTGCAATGAACAGTGATTAAACTCTTCTTTAATTGCCTTAAAGTTAGATTTGTGACTATTTTACCCTGTTGGCACAGGGTTTGTGTATGGCAGCCTTTGGGATGATCATTCAAGTGGAGGATAAGTGCGTTTACTCTTGAGGTGAGGCGGTATTCATACTGGCCACGGTTTGCTCTTTGCAGGACCGTTGTCAAGCTCCATGTCCATTTCTACAAAGTCAGCAGGGCCATAATCACTACCCTGTGAGCTGGAGTCTCTGTCTGTTGTTTGCTGGTCATTTCTCCTCCTCCAAAGGCAAAGGCCGGATTTGGCTGGACGCACCAGCCCAAGAAACAGAGCACCGACTCCCATCCCAGCCGCGCAGGAGTAAAAGGCTGACCCGTAATTGTCAGTCCTGTCTACCAGAAAACCTGAAACAAAAGACACAAGATGACATTTATAAATGTGTGTGGGAGGCAGATTTATAGGTTTATAACTAGATTCTTTTCATATACTGGAGGAAGTATGAATGGCAAATTGGGGTCCAGGTTCATAAGGGATCACTGAAACATTTGAACAAAGCATTTTACAAAATGTACTTTTGGTGGTATCTAAGTTAACATGCACTTAAGAAATTAATGAAATGTGTTTAACTTTATTATTATTATTATTTTTACATTCACCAAATGTTGATTCATTTCTAAAAACTGTTTGTTTTTTACATTCGCAGTACACTGACAAAGTAAAATATTTCATATGATTAATTTAATATTTATTTCATTTATGGTATATGTAGAACTGACCATGAAATGAAAAAACCACAGGGCTTAAATAGACAGGACAAACAAAGGGAGAACCTAACTTAGGGTGACCATACGTGCCATTTTCCCAGGACGCGAACCTAGATATTTTAGGCAATATAGAAATCCTGGCCAGGACGCATCCTGGGCAAATGGCACGTATGGTCACCCTACCTAACTAAACACACCTGAACTGAGGAACCTAATCATATCAGTAACCATAGAAACAAACAGGCAGGGCACAGAGGAAGACAGAACTAATTAACAGACTAGAAGGCTAGGGGTGCTTCTCAATATCCCTCCTCGTTTCCCCGCTCCTCTGTCCTCCATCCTATGACCCGGAAACCGATCAAGCTCAGCCATCTTGTAGGACATCTCAATTCTCTAATTGCGCCGCGAGGAGGCGAGGATCGAGGAATGAGGAGGCTTCCTGAGGAGCTATGAGCGAGGATACACAGGTGTATCCTTTGCGGAAGTGTTTTTCATCTAAAAACCTGACGCACGTGTACATTCTCCTCCCATTTCGCATCTGTTGTAATAATTTTAATTTATATTTTACCTTTGCAGTTTAAAGAAACCATACATGTCATATATTTCAAACAGAGCATCTTGCTTTATTAATATTTATTATGAATGTCTTAACAAACTTTAACAACATAAGGGCAGACCCCTTTAGCGCAGCTGATGATGCTTTGAAGTGACGCTAAAGGGAACGAGGGTATATCATATCAACTCCTCTGTCCTCCCGTCTTTTCCTTGTGTCCTTTCCTCGCATCCTGAAGGGGTCGAGCTAAGACGCGAGGAAAGGAAGCAAGGAAAGGAAACGAGGATGCACAAATAAGAATTGAGAAGCACCCTAGACGATTTTAAGGCCAATTTTAAGATTTGCGGCTTGTCGCAAACGATTTTTTTTGTCCAAAAAATCCTTTATTGTGTGGTGTCATTACGATTATCTGCTCCCGATTGAGATGGAGCGTCGCCGAACTCAAATCGTAAATATCAAACAAGTTTTGACTCTTGATCGGGCTGCCTCTGACGTGATACCCGCGATAGCCAATGAGAGCTGGATGTTGCGTGCTTCTATAGCTGAAACTTGGCAGCCACAAACATGCCATAAAAGCAGAGAACATCACCCATATTCTTTTTTAAACTTTGTTTTTCACTGTGAAACAGAACGCGCACCAGGAGAGCCAGCTGACAACGTTGATTGTCCTCTATTTGTTTTTCTTCTCTAGTCACGTTTGATCTCGCGAGTCTCCGTGAGATCTCGTGTCACTGTGAAATCATTCCTACAATCATCAAGTGTGTGGTCTCGCGGTCTGGTCGAATCGGCTAGTGTGCGCGTTCAGAGGATTATAAGGCTAAAAATCGGTTGAACTGTCTTCATGTCTGTGGTCTCCCATGGTTTTAAAATCGTTTAAGATTTGAAAATCGTCTAGTGTGCGGACAGCTTAACTTAGAAACACATGCACAGAACATGAAAACAGATCAAAAACAAACTCTAAGCATGAACCAACAAACCAAGGTACACCAGGAACATTCACCAAATTTAGATAATATTTCTAAAAATTTAATTTAATAATATTTATTTTGGGGTTTTTTAATATCTCACAAAATATACATGTTTTTTTTGCATGAAAATATATAGCTGCCTAAATGGGTTCCTTTGCATCATATTTGAATGTCTTTTAAAAATGCCTGTTTCTAGCCAGTTGTCAGATTACTATGCATCATAGTGGTTTATAACTAAAGTGGTTAGTCTACAGAGGCTGTTTTTACCTCCTAAAGGTGGACCAGCCAGTCCTGCAAAGCTCTGGATACAGACATAGACGCCAACAGCCGATGACATTCTCTGAATGCCGATCACGTCATCTTCAGCCAGCATTGGGATGTGACTGGATGCCACGGTGCCCAGCAGAAAGCCATAGAAACAGGAGCAGGACATGAGCCCCCAGAACTCAGTGACAAAAGTGAAGATGACCAGCACTGGACACAGCAGCACTGTGCAAATCAGCAGAATGTAGATTTTGCGGATGGGCCTGCGATTGAGAACCCAACCCATGGACAGACGACCTAGAATCTCAGCCACGGCCATGGCCGAGAGCATGTAGGTGGCGCTGTCACGTGACACTCCTCGGCTCACGCTCAGCTCAATGACGTAGAGCTGCGGAGCGAAGAAGCCCAGACTGGCGAACAGGCCAAACAGTGCGTAGCAGTTGAAGCTGGCGTCTCTAAGCACGGAGAAGTCCAAAAACTTGGGCCTAGAGGCGCTCGAGTCTACTCGTTCCTGTTTGAGTGGGGTCTCAGGCAGCACTGGTTGCTTGTTTTCACGGTTTTCTTCGTCCTCCTTTTCCTTAAGTGCTTTTTTCTCTGCAGAGTTCTGTTCTGTAGATTCCTGGCCCTCGGACAGGTTGATCTGGGAAGAGGTGACGGATTGGACCCCTGAGTCCACAGAGCCGAAAGAGGTACGTGTGAATTCATTCTCCTGGTCATATTTGGATTCAGGTTCTGTAAGGGGGGATGTGGACCCCTCTGAGGCAGTGGGTTTGGGTTTAATGACTATTGGCTTTAGCAGAGCCCCACAGACGATAATTAAGGCCTGCATAACCCCAATCATGATCAAGCAGTTGCGCCAGCCCATATGCTCCTTCAGTGCATTCATAGCTGCAACGTGAATTCAAATGAAATTAATTACAGAAAGACCAGTTTTTCAACATGTCTGAAAAACATTAGGCTTCCTGTGAAAAATAATAGTCTTTTATGACTATGCAAATATATTTGACTTCCAAATAGACTTTTATCATGTTATGTACATGCTTAGCTAATGTGTAACATTCCAAACTAGTCTGCCTGTGTGTTTAAAGGGCCAGTTCACCAAAAAATTAATAACCTATCATAATTTGTTCACCCTCATGTTGTTCCAAACCTGTATGACTGTCTTTAGTCTGTGGAACTCAAAAGAAGATATTTTAAAAATGCCTCAGTGTTTTTTGTTCATACAATGAGAGTCAATGGGGTCCAATATGGTTTTGGAGAAAAACATGGAGAAAAACAGATCGAACAAAATATCATGTTTTGTGTTATGCAGAAGAATGAATGACATGAGGCTGAGAAAATGTGTGAACTATCCAGAGGACTATATTGCACAGCTCTGGCCATCATACCTGGAGCAAGTGCTAGCAGGGAGAAGCATTCTCCCGTGGAGGCTATGGAAGTGACGAGGGAACGGCGCTTGCTGAAGTACTGGGTCAGGATGGTAACTGTAGGCAGGAAGGTAAGGCAGTAACCCAGGCCTGTAAATAAATAGCAAAGAGGGAGATGACAGCCACTGGTTCCTTCAACACAAGGGGCTCAGGTCAGTCTGAGGGGCCGGGCTCAAAGCACGCCAAGAACCAGGCCGCTCTCAAAGGGCTGAAAGAAAACTGTATTTAAAAGAGACAAAAAAAGAGACAAGGAGAAACAAAGATCGGCAAGGTTAGGATCAACTAATGATGGTGGGGAGGGAGTGTTTTGATATTTGGGGAAAGCTAGCAGTGCATCTTTTGAGAAATCTGAAAATCCAAATAATTATGTGGTCACATTGAGTGTCAATTCTAATTTGAGCAATTGAGAGCGTTTATATATATTTTTTTTTAAATCAGCTTTTTATAACAATTAATGAAAAAGGGATTCTCCATATGTGGACTGGATGGCTTGCGTGTGAATAAATTATTAAATAAAAATGAAATCTTCAAACATATTGTCTTATATTAGGGTATTTAAAATGTGCATTATGAGATATATTTAAACAAATTGGTGTCTTATACAATTGACAACTTTCTTAAAAGAAGGAAATTTGAAATAAGCCAAGTTAACTTTTGGATAATGTGTTTGAATCCTGCAACTGTATGTCAACACATGAAAACACTCATCCTGTTATAAAGGGGTGTGTGATACTAAAGGTGTCAAGAATCAGGTTTATTGATGCTGACAAGTCATACACCAGTCACAGCACTGCTTGAATTCCCTCTCTGTCTTTAAAAAAAGTAAGCGAATAGAAGAGAGCATCATGTTTACTAGGAAAAAAAATACTCATACAGTAATGAAATAGAAAATAAATATGGGTAAATGACAGAAATGAAGACTATTATTTTTATGACAAAAAATACACTACAGGTCATAAGTTTGAGCTTGGTGAGATTTATAAATGGTTTTGAAAGAAGTCTCATGCTCACCAAGGCTGCATTTATTTGATCAAAAATACTGTAAAAGAGCAGTATTGTGAATTATTATTACAAATTAAAATAACTCTTTTCTATTTTAATATATTTTAAAATGCAATTTATTCCTGTGATTTCAAAGCTGAATTTTCAGCATCATTGCTCCAGTCTTCATTGTCACATGATCCTTCAGAAATCATTCTGATATGCTAATTTGCTGCTTAAGAATAATTTCTTATTACTATCAATGTTGAAAACAGTTGTGCTGCTTAACAGTTTTGTTTGCATTTTTCGGGATTCTTTGATGAATAAGAAAGTTCAAAAGAACAGCATTTATTCGAAATATAACTTTATCCAGATTCTAAATGCTAACTAACAGTTTTAAACAAAAAGAAAGAAATTGTTACTTTGCAAAGGCTATGTTTGGAAATTCTGTCTCTTCTTTAATATAAAAATTCAACATTAATTAGTTTTCACAATATCATGCCATGCCACCCTTAGGAAAAATGTTTTCAGTTACAAACTGCACTTCCAACAAAAAACAATGCAATATTAAAGTACTGAATAAATTCAGCAGTCATTTACCTTACGTACTTTGTTATAGGACAGTACAGGACAAAACATGTATCACAAACCTAACTCACACTCAAGCTGGATTTACCTGCAACAATACCCATGGTAATGTACATCTCAATGATGGAGTTGGTGAAGGCTGTTGTGATTGTACCCAGGCTGATCAGCAGACCACCGACCATGACAACAGGCTGATAGCCAAAGCGGTTACTCATCACCGTAGAAAGAGGAGCTGTGGGAAAGATGGTGCCAACCATAAACACTTACGATAACACTCAGAAATGGAACAGCTGTGATATATTTGCAGTCTTACAGCTCAAATTCAATTACAAACACAGTAAATCTATGCACCTCCTGTCTGACTCTGTAAAGCTGCTTTGACACAACCAGTATTGCGTAAAGCACTATACAAATAAAGGTGCCTTGACTTGACTTCCTTTTCAAAACTGTCCTAAACTATCCATTAATGATGGTTCCATTTTTGCAGCAAAGGCATGAAGTCAGTATCACTAGCAAGTTTTGCTTGGGGTAATCACTTTCTATCTGAGCCATTTGAGTGAGTGCCTCTGTTTGAACAAGAATGATCCTTTAAAGCCCACTCAGCTGGAAAAATATGAATCCATCCATTGAGTCATGTAATGGTGGGGCTGCTTTGTCACTGGGAAAAGTAAGTGAATCTCCAGTCAGCCATCGCAACAGCCGGCGGTCCTTACACAGCACAATTTAGCACATCCACTAAACAGGGCATTGCTTGCTCTCAGCACAAATGCCAATATGAAAAGATGAGCTTGGAAGACAGGATCAGTTTGACAGATTCACACTGCAGGAACTCGATATCTTTTTTTTTTCTTTTTTTCGATATCTTTTTTTCTATAATTCAAAGGGATAGTTGACCCAAAAATGAAAATTCTGTCATCTCTCACCAATATTTCATTTATAAACTTACTTTCTTCTCTGAAACATAAAATAGAAGATTATAAAATAGAAGATTATTTTGAAGAATGTTGGTAACCCAACAGTTTTGGTGCCCACTAACTTCAACTGAATGGACAAAGAAAAGACATTTCTCAAAATATCCTCTTTTGGAACTACATGAGGGTGAGAAAATAATGGCAAACATTTAACATTTAAGTCAACTATCCCCTTAAGGCTTGAGAGAATTACAGGGAAATGACAGAGCTGATGACACAGCTTGTTTCTTAATTTTACACTTTGTACCCGCCCCGCCTTTTGGATATGCCCGGTCTTTTTATAATGACCTATTTTCCGTCAACTTCCCTGGACTAAAATTGAGCTGTGTGTTTGGTGTAGCTTGTGAAAAAAGTTGTGGTCGCAGTAAAGTAAAACCAGCATTGATAATAACAAACTAAAAAAATAGTATTCACTGGCTTGTACAGATGTCTTTATGATCGTAAAAGCAAAAGCTAGTAATGAAATTTGATTTAGGTTTGCTGTAGTAACCTGTAGTTAAGTTACTGTAGTAACCTGCAAAAGCATTCACCAGAAAACATTCTTGAATCTTTCTGCAATATCATACACTGAGGTATTTTTCTCTTGTGTAAACACCATTTGTATTGTGTAAACACTGAGGGGCACCTAGTACTATCGTATTGTATCTTTAAATATCTAGATTGAATTACCTGTGAAGGCCATGACAAAGACACAGATGGAGACAACCCATGACACTCTGCTGTTGGTTTCATTAAAGTCTGTCATGAGGTCCTGGAGGAAGATCCCAAAAATCTTAATAATGCCATAGGTAAAAACCTCCACGAAGAAGAAGGCGGCAGCCACCATCCAGCCCCAGCCTCCATCAGGCACCTCATCGTACACATTTGGGCTCGTGCAGCCCTTCAGGGCAGACATTATTCCTGTCATGATGGACACTGACGTTTCTGTAAATGTAAGCAAAGTTACAGTACAGAGAGTTTTAGGTATGATAGGTCATTTCTACACCGCTCTGATGGTGTGCCCTTGTCAACTCAACAGCGGCTGTGTTTGAAAGCAGCTCATGTCTTTAATTTGCTCTGTCTGCTGGATTATTTTACCTTTCAAGGTGCTACAAATCAATAAAACATTTGTTAGGTAACCACTGTTAGGATATTAGAAAAAAATGGGAGTGCCAAAGCCAAGCACCATTTTGAAACTTTGATATATATATATATATATATATAT